AATTGATTGTTCACGCTTACGGTGGCTTTCAGACCGCATCCATTATTTTTGTTTCCCCCCTCCTCTTTTACGAACATAGATGGACTCGTCCACCTGAATAACTGCCAAATCGCTCTCCGTGCTGCTAACATTAAAAAAACGCCACTTTTTTCAAATTTTCTTGGTATGGCTTTCACACCTGATGATGATTGCTTGTGTTGCAGTCGAAACGTCGTGAGAATTTTATTGTTTTATATTTTTTATTATTTTATTGCTTCCCTTCTACGTGACTTTACCGAAAGAACCAAGAATATGAATCCTTGCAGTCGCGAAAGCTTTAAATCAAAATATATCTCATCCCTGTTTCACACGTAGACTTTCGCGAACAAAATCATCCATGATACAGTTTTTTGGGGGGGGTTGGATCGCGTAAATACAAATGTGTGGTGCTGGCCACCCAACCCCTCGTGTGCCGTGCCGGCCTTCACAGCACTTGCCCCAACAGTCTGTCCAGGCTATACGGGGGATCTTTGTGTTTTTCATACTTGTTAACCCCTTATCAGTGCCCTGTCTTATTCCAGACCAATTCAGACATTAGTGGTCACCCCGTGCCCCTTATAAAGCTCAACGTTCATCCTACAAAGTCCCATCCCAAGGGAGAAACACAAACAAATAAGACAAAAGCATTTCCCCCGTATTGAAACGGCTGTACGCCGTCTGTACCTGAAAACTCAATTTCCACGTGCAAGAAGACGGGATGAAACCGTGTGGGTAAGACAGCTGTGATAACCACAACGTCATGACAACATGACCACAACATAACCAACAACTTAACCACGAACACGGGCGCCGTCAGCCTCCCAGTGGACGTCAAAGACTGCGGCAATGCGTGCCGCCCTCACCCCGCAAAGCCTCCACGCGGTTACACAACAGACGACGATCACTCGAAAATTATTTCATCGGGAAACGGACACCCATCGTTGCACCCGCCCCTCCCCCCCCCCACCTTATTCTTCTCCCCCCTCTCTACTGTGAACACTCAGCAAGGGGGTTAAAAAGTATCAATAAAAATAACCAGAGTGATAATCGCAGTAATTCAAATCTCGTCCGCACTTCACGCAGCCGCCTTCACCGCAGGACGTGGCGTCTTCCTCCTTCCGTAGCACCGCTCGGCGTTCAGAAAACCCTTCTCCTCTTCTTCTTACTTCAGCGACAAAGTCAACACAATCGTCAATGACACCGCGGCCTTGAGTGGGGTGGTAAATACAGAAATAGGCGACGTTTCGGGCAATTTCCCCATCATTGCACATTGTTCCGCTCTGCGGAGAAGGGCCACGGGCCAAAACGTCGCCCCCTTCTGTATTTATCGCTTGAAGGCCACGCGGCCTTATTTACGAAATGTGTTCAGTGTTCTGGCTTGCTAGCTGTGCTTTGTGAACCGCTGCCAATGCAGCAGCACCACCAAAAAACGCGTGCTACACACGCGTGTACTGTGGCACGTGTGTAGTACGTGTGTAGTACGTGTTACACACGTGCCACACTACACGTGTGTAGTGTGGCACGTGCTACAGGCCTGCTGTTGTCAATCTGCTGGATACGGGCATTCACACACAGCTATGCAAGTCATGGGGGTTATTCCACCAGATCTCACCGTGCTAGGCAGTGCAGGTTGGTAAAGGTAGGGGAGCACAGAAGTGGAGTACAACAATGTATGTGTATGCACTGCCAAACAGGAGCCAATTACACCTGCTTGAACTTCTTTTGCACCGTGCGTAGCCAACCGCGCTAATCGGAAGGTGCGGGGGAAGGACAACTACACGTGGACAACAATCCCGAGTCCTATCCAGGCTCAAACCTGCTTGGCTTCCGAGATCTAAGGAGACCAGGTTACACGAGGTGATTTGGTCATAAGGGGCTCTGCATAAATGATGTCACGCACCTGGGGGGGGGGTCAGACATTTGTGACGATGTGTGACGAGGGGGGGGGGGGTGAGAAATGTGACGTCACATCAAAATGCGCAACTTTAAATAAATATCGCCAACACGTTCTATTTAATTAAATATACTTTTTAAGAAATGTTTTCTCCTACTACATCAGAGTGCAGCGCCACATTAAATACGCACTACAATGACAATAGTTTAAAACGATTTGAAGCGTGTTTTATTTTTTGGAGGGTGGGCAGAGCTTTGTGACGTCATATATGAGGGGGGGGGGGGTCTGACTTTGTGACGCCGTGTGACGAGGGGGGGGGGTCAAAAATAGTCCAAACTCGCGTGACGTCATTTATGGACGGCTCTTATGCACCTCGTATCACTCCACACCCATTGCCTTGACTTGTGCTCTCTGTGTTGCCTTGACATTGTAGGCCTTGGGGCCTCTGCGATCATAATACAAATAACAGTTTAACCGTAGGCTTTCACTTATGGATTTAAAAAAACCCCACCACATCACAAACATCGTTCGGCCATTTCAAGCGTCGCTGGGGTCGGGTGTAGATTTTCTCAACCGTGTTGGTCTTACAATGCACAGACCCTAACTCCACACCAAAGGGATTTTAGAAATGCACATTTTGAGAGACTCTTCCATTCGTCGCACCCTGGGCACGGATTTGTCATGGGCGAGGAGGTTTTCCGCGTCGTCTCTTCGCGTTTACCTCCCAAAGTCACAAAAGTGGCAGAGTGGAAAAGTGGCGACGTCTCCCCGCTCAGGTCGGCAACGGACCGGCGCTCGGCTTGGCGAGCTCGTCCTCTAGCCAGTCGTGGAAGTTGCACGTGCCGATTACAGATGCCTGGCTCTCCACACACACGTGCTCTATACAAAGGCTCACGCGTAATTGAGCAGCGCCTTGAGATCGAGACTCTGTCGGGGCCTTTCTGGGTAAAGAAAGAAAGGGCTCTCTGTCAAACAGCCGCAGGTCACATGGTAGCAAACGTTCATTTGTAAAATTGTGGCAAACGAAAAGTTCCGATTATTCAGCTGGAGATTATTATTGATAAGCAATATACAATATTTATTCGATGACAAGATGCAAGGGTTTTTTTTCCTCTCCCTGTATTTTTAATGAAAGGTTGGCGGCGTTTTTTTTTTACAAATCCGGAGAAGACATCGTCCTCTGGATGTCGGGTTTTAAAAACAGCTGTTCATATAAATTTCCCGGAAGACAGTTGTCCATAGCAACACATTACCACCCAGAGAATAGAAGACACCATCAGCTGTTGAGATTAATCATCCAGGAGACACCAATCCCCCATTTTCAAGGGGCGCATTCCAAATCACCTGGAAGTTGGCTCTCCACAGGCCCGTGATCTCCCGTTAATAAAATCCACTTTTTTTCCAAAATGACTCCAAAGTTTGGGTTGCGGCTTACCTTCCGGGATGTCTTATAATCCCGAGAACAGGGAATTATTTTTCTGGAATCCATGCCCATAAAAAATTGGAGCGTTTGTTCCTCAGGTGTCATTATTTTTCACCGATACAAAAACCTACTGAGCACCACATCTCCGCGCTACATTGTGTCACCATGCACTGCAGTAAACACCCATTGTACACCGATTGCATAGTTTCACACGCGACCTATTTCACATTGCACTCCAGGGCGACCTGCGGTGGTTCCCCACTGCACGCCGCATCGAACCACACTGCTCTGCGCGATCCACGGGTCCGAGGAATTCGGAGAGGATCGGGGACGGCTTGTGAGTCCAGTTTGGGTCGAGCCACAGACTCTCCGGCGGGTTTCCCAGATTCTGGAAACGTGTGGATGGACAAAGCCACTACTCCAATGGGGTGTTTAATTCTGGACGTCGATGTTGTTCCGCTCAAGACCCAAACATCGCATACCTCCAGGCTCTTGACATTCCACCTCGAAGACACCGAAGCAGAACACCACCGGCAGGCCGATGCGTACATCTCCTTCATGAACGGAGAATTAAAGACGAGCCACAGCGGTGCGATTGAGGCCATGCAGCCCACTACTGGTGGAAGGGCCTGCCAGAGAAAGCTCTCGGGAGACCCTGGAAGACAGCGGTCCCTAAATTTTTTTGGCACCAGGGACCGGTTTCGTGGAAGACAATTTTTTCACGGACCGGGGGGGTGGTTCATCATTGGGTCTTTCCCCCTTTTCAAAGAAGCTCTCCAGCGACGTTTGTTTGTTACTCATTTTGGCTACTAGGGGTTAGCTTGTGGGCTTACCAACACTGTGACTGAGACAAGTGCGTAGTGCGGGAAAGAGGCGCGGACGGAAGTGGTAAATAATAAAACAATGGGCGGGCCACGTGCGGACTCACCGCTCTCACCTCCTGCTGCTGTGCGGCCCGGTTCCTAACAGGCCACGGACCGGTACCGGTCCGCGGCCCGGGGGATGGGGACCCCTGCTCTAATGGACCGACCCTTGCACAACTGACCAGACGTCTTGGAAGAGGTGGGGCGACCCACAATTTACCACACCACACACGACCCGCAGATCGATTAACTGTGGTGTCACTCATTTATATGCTGCTGGGTGGACAGGGGCGTGGTGGATTTAAAAAAAAACTTTGCACCGTTGTTTCAACTTCCGCGCCGGGAGATCGAATTCAATCGGTGACCTCCGGATTGCAAGTCCGGTGTGCTGACCGTTACACCGTTACACTGCGGCCGCATCCCCGGCCCCCTCATATCGATTGTGCGAATTCACACAACTCAAATATTTTCAGATTCTCTTTAGGTCACCAAATGTAAGTTTGTATGATTCGGTATCAAATATTTAACCACCACACAGCATTATCACAACAGACTCTGCCCTCTTCCTTTTATCAAGTCTAAATCTCTCCGTTACTTACGTTTTTTTTATCTGCCTCATATCCTTTTGCTAAGAGGGATGCTACAGAAAACACAGTCCCAATGGCCCATGGGGCTAATTGCCATGTAAATGTGGCAGAGGAGCAGCACTGACGAGATCCTGGCTTCACAAACTGGTCAGGTGCCTCCCTCCCCTCACAATTCCCCCCTCCCCCCCACCCACTCCCCCACCATCCCCCCCCCACATCCCAAAATAAAACCAAGCTCTCAAGCGTAGAGAGCTGAAAGTCTCTACTCGGTCACCAACGAACGTACGACAAAAAAATATATACACATTTTTTTTGCCACTTAATTCAGTATGGCCTAGCACCGAGGCCTGAAGAAATGTTGAATACAAATGGCATCATCCCGCTAATGACACGGCATTACCGCACACCACACGACGACTCTGGAAATAGTTTCGCCACGGAATCGCCTTCCACAGTCATCGCCGTGACGGCGCAGCGCTCGCTGCGAGACTCGTGCCGGGACGTTTGTTGGCCTCGTGCATCGGTGATGCCGGGGAGCACACTTGAAATGTGAATAAGAGATACAATCAAAGCACAACAATACATGTAAATAAGGTAAAGGTGTAGCCCTGCGATTTGCTTGCTCGCACCACTGCCAGGGGGGAGGGGGCCTCCACTGGAGGAAGCCCTGCAGAGGCTCTTCCACGCTGGCAAGCGGTCTTTGAAGCGGCCGTACCTCCCGCAGCGACCTGCCGATCGACTAACCGTGGCGTCCGCAATCATACTGCTGCGTGGACCAAAGTGCGGGGGGACATTTTTTTAAAATCTTGCTCCATCGTTTCAAATGCCAAGGGAATCCAACTGTGACGTCAGGGTTGCAAGGCCAGCATCCCGCAATATAACGAACAAGGTAAAACATCAGGTCAGCCACATAAGTAGAAGGGTGTGACAATAATGAGAGGTAATAGAGAACGTTGCAGAGTATAAGAGGTAGAAACTTAAGAATGTTCATAACTCAACGAGTGGAAAATGTAGCAAACTTAACGGGTATTGTTCATGCGGCTGCCCAGTTACGCACGGGTAAGATAAAAGTTAAGGATGTCGCTCTGCAATTCCTCGCTCACACCACTGCTGGCAGAAGGTTCACCATGAAGGGGAGGCTTCAGAGATCGTAGTTTTGGCCTACTTTTCCCCGCCGGTCACACGGATGTCTTGAAAGGGGTGGGTAGTACCCGCACATTGCTCCATTGCACGTGACCTACCGATCGACAAACTCTGGTGCACTCATTGGCACAAGGTAAAGAAATGTAATAACAATGAATTAAATGTGAACACATGCGATGAGAAATCACAACTGCGAGTGATTAAAAAGTCTCCGATAAAACAAACCATACCAATTTGCGGGAAAACTTAAATCTAAAAAAAGAGTCATCACTGTAAATGTAAAGTGTATTTTTTAACGCTTAAACTTTCCGTTATTTGCTTATTGCTTTACCACCAAGAACTAAGCATCGTATACGTCACCTGGAAGGCAGGCTTCCCCAAAGCAACTTGTTATATTAAATCCTAGACTTTGAATCGCACACTGCCCACCTCAAACAAATCTGTCAAAGGGTCTTTTTGTAAACACACAACTACGGAAAATAAAATTGCACGCCCACTTACGCACACGCACGTGTGTGTGTGCGCGTATATATTTCACCATCAGAACAGTGACGTACACACCACACGCGTCTCCGCTCTCATTCGCTACGTAGAGCAGTGGCGCGTCACGGTCCATGGCACCGTGGGTGCTGCTGCTGCTGCTGCTGCAGTGGTAGCCAGTGCCAGGCTCCACACGTCACCAAGGGGCCCTGGCGTGCAGTCTACGGGGCTCCCCTAGAGCGATATTGACCTCTCCGTGGGAAGGCAGTGGTAGCAATAGCCACTTTAAGGCCCACCAACCATAACCATAATGTTTGGGGGTCCCTGTAGAGAATTGGTGCCCACCCATGAATTAATCGTGTTAGGCCCTCAAGTATAGTTGGCCCCATACGAAAGTCACAATGGCACCACAGTTAATCGGGCCCCGATGTATGTATGTTGACGCTGACTAGGTGCAGAGTATCTTCGTGAACTCGGGAGATATCCGTTCAGACGCCTGGTGTGTTTGAATGTCGTACCGCGCGAGAACACAGCGGAGAGAGAACTTCAAGTGCGCGGTGAGACACTGCAGTAGTGTGGCGGTCTCGCAAGTGCGGGGCACGTGCGTGGCCCCAGCACGGGCCAAGCAAGCGGGTATCGCGTCGGCCTTCAGTCCCAACTTGGCTCACAGGACCGCCGCGAATGTACGTGTGTAAGTTGAACTTCTTTCGCACCGTACGTAGCCAACCGTGCCAATCGCAAGTGCGGGCCACCGGTGGCGGTTACGCGCAGGGTGGGTGAGGGGTGGGGGGAACGCGGGCCCGGGTGCCGCACCCTAGAGTCCCACCTTGGCTCGCACCGCAGACACGAACTGGGGGTAGTGGTACTGGTTGGGCACGGGCCCATCGACGCGGCACTCGCAGAAGTAGAACATGGGGAACCAGACGCGGGCGCGGCGCGAGTGGCGGGACGTGCCCGCGGCCGCCAGCGTGTGGTAGTAGAGGAAGAGGCGCGTCGTCAGGTAGAAGGCCACCACCACGTCGATCGTGTAGTGCTCGTGGGCCGCCAGGATGAAGAAGATGCCAAAGAGGTTGAGCACCCAGGAGAGAGTGTGCAGGTAGTGCCAGGTGATGGGCGTGTCTGCAGCACGCACGCAAAGGCAGAGACCACCCGGCTTCCTGACTGTGGTGGTGTCGTCATCGTCAATCAGAAATTATCAATGCCTGGGCGGTGGCGGTGATGGTGGCGGTGATGGTGGCGATGCACGTGGCCTGCAATCAAGCACTGTGGAGGTGAGAGTTGGTGGATCGCACGGGCGTTGGGGCTCGCCAAAATGCGCTAGAGAAAAAATGTGGACTCCTCCTGCTCCATCTGTATGGGATAGAGTGTTTCCCCCTCGCACGCGTGGGTTTTATCTGAGCGCTCCGGTTTCCTCCCACATGTAAACACTAAAATTTTTTACGCGATCTGACCCAAAAAAACTTTAATCTATTTTGAATCCCTCATTAATTGGCCGATAACACCTTAATATGTAGAGGACTGCAGAGCTTGAGCATTTTTTGGTGCCAGCTCATTCGCCTGGCTGCCTTCCCGCTTGTCTACGGTTCCTCCTCACCACTCCGAATCGTTCTCTGTATTCGAGAGGGATCGAATACTCTGCCGGCCCCCAACACGTTGAAATTATTATTACCGTTCTAAATTAATGTGCGAAGAGTGCATTTCAAGGTTACGTCCGGTGCATTTGATAAGCAGAGCGCGGCTTACACTCGGTGACGAAGAAGTTGAGCATGGTGAGGATGACCGTGTGTCCGCTGAACATGTAGTCCCCGCACGTGTGCACGCCTGTCAGCGTCATCCCGAACCCCGACCAAATCTTCAACGCTCGCTCAAGCTTCGCCCCAAAATCACTGTACAACTGGGGCGCAACGCGAGACACAAACCCGTCGCAACGTCAACGACCACATTTCAAACCCGGCGGCGGAGCCATCGGGCGCGCTGGCGGTCGCAACTGTGCCAGGGTACCCGCAAGGCACAGGGGCTCGGACGCTGGCCTACGAGGAGTGGCGGGAAAAGGGACGGGGAGGGGGAGGGGGGGGCGGCGGGGACGCCCCATTTCACTAGCTGCGCCAAGACCAATACCCAGAATGCACCGCCACTCATGAGATGGCACCCTCAGGGTTCCCATGTTAAACACGCACGCACGCACGCCCGCCTGCAGGCACGACCACGCGCACAGCGTATGACCAGGTACGCGGATGAGAGTGTTCGCACAAACGCACGCACGCATGCGTGCGTGGGCACGTGACGCACCCGCTCGCCGACACCTGCACAAAGTATGGAAAGCGCCGCTTCCGCCAGAAGCCATGGGTTTTGCCAGGAGCTGCACTGAGCCATGCACAATGCAGGCACCGAGACCACGGCCGGATGGGCAGCACACCGACAGCGCATAAGCATAGCCCCGTCCGAAAGCTATGGGTAGTTGCACAGAAATGTGTTTGGAGCTAGCGCGTAGCCACAGATGGCTGTGCTGCCACAATAATTCTTAACGGGCCGCGTGCGGTTTGCACAGGGAGACCTCGCGTGCCCGCGACCACGCCACCGCGTGCTGGGGCCAGGGGAGGCATGGAACAACTTAAGTGCAACATTGCTTTCACCCCACACGTAACTCAGACAACACGTTACTTGGTGGCGATGCTGCTGCATTGGCAGTGGTACACAGGCACGCATAACGGCAAAAAAAAATCATGTTCATCAACAGCGCCGTGGCCTTTACACGATAAAGTATAAAAGAGGTGGACGTTTCGGGTAACGGTTCTTCTTCACAGGTGACGCTTTTTGGGCAACGGCCATCTGTCACAAGGGCCACTGCCAACAATTTCACCTGTTATATATTTTTATATTTAAGTCAGTGGCCAGTTAAGGGGCGATTTTCACTTAAGTTGTTTTATGCGTGTGGCCACTTGGTGCTTCCCGTGTGCCGACTTGCAGAGCTGGTCAAGTGAAACGTTTAGTCGGTCTGCATCCACAGCGATCCAGTAAAACCCCCAAAGCCAGACTCATGTGGGACAGAGGCTTTCCTGCTGTGGGGGATGTCTGCCAAATAAATAATAAATTATTGCCATTAATTTACGCTGAACACCTAACATTAAATTAGCACGTAATAATTCACAACGTATCAGTAGGTATTTCTAATCTTCATATTTTAAGTTTAATAACATATTATTTTTAATCACTTGTGTTCTGCACTGTTTAATTTAAATCACGATCACCAAGAGGCAGAGTGGGGGGGGAAGGCTGATACTTACACCCAATAAACTGTACGGTAGAGTGTACGGTATTCTTATTTTTGTCAAATGATATCAAAGCGGAATGTAAGTGAGTACGTTCAACGGCACCAAACCTATAAAACAGAACGGCACAGGATGTGGTGCTGATAGCTTCGGCATTTCTCGTACACGTTGCATTTGAGTGGATGACAATGGTTGGGGATGGTGCCTTACGCTTCCTCGTAAGCGATTAAGAGAATTTCCTCCCCGCAAGGTTAGCACAGCCGGTTACTCCGCACCCTACCGCACGCAGCAGCGCGCCGCTCTGAGTTTACAACGTTTATATCGGTGGTCTCGCCAGCTTACCCATCAAATCCGGGCTCGATGGAGTCCGGCTTCGTGAGCTTCTATCGTCCAATGTAGGTTAGCCAACGACCGAATCACCCGGGCACGTGCGGCACGAACATCTCGTATCTCGGAAGCCAAGGAGGGGTTGACATCACCACCGGCGCCGGGCCCACCGTGGCTAAGAGGATTTGGCGCCCGTTTACAAGCGAGCCCTCTGGGGGGTGCTGCCGCCGCCGCTGGTACGAGCACAGACGCTCCGGCACAGACCGGCACGGTGTGTGGGGCGTGTGGTCGCGCACAGAACCCCGACAATACACAAATGTGCGCAACAACAAACAAAAAAACCCATAGCTCTGGAGGAGACTGGCGTTGGTTAGCACATGCAGTGAGAGCCGCAAGAGGCGTAACGCAGACAGGTACACGCACACCGTGTTAATGAGGTCCGTTAGTTCCATTGAGCCGTGAAGGTACTAAGTCGGAGAAATTCAGGTAACTTACTTGTTGATTTTCCTGAAAATTGTAGATTGAAGGGAGGGTGATGAGACGAAGTTGGACAGAGGGAAAGATCAGAGAAAGAGAAGGGACAGAGAAAAGCACGGAGGGGAGAATCAAAGTGAAATTAAACGTACTGTGTAAACATTACCCAGAATACAGCATCACAATCAACCACTTTCATCTCATACTCTGTGCTCGGGTCACTGCCATTCTTGGAGAACCCCGATAATGCCAACTCCCATACATGGCCTGTTGTACGTATGTACTTTTCACTTCTTTCGCACAGTACGTGGCCAACCGTGCTAATCGGAGGTGGCAGCACCACATTTTCCTATTTGGTCATCCGCTGGAATATACTCATTCCGCTTCAAACATATGTGCTTGGACTTTACAACCGATTACATCATCACGAGACAAAGACTCGTCCTCCTGGTGCTGCGTCTGAACAACTGGAGATCCTCAAATTGTTGCTCAGTGGGAGGTGGAGTGGTGGCGCGTTGGCGTACTGCGAACCCGGCGGCCCGAGTTCGGTCACCAGCCACGACAATCATCGGTGGCGAGTGATACCTGAACCAATTCTGCCCCACCACTTCACCGATCTGCACTGACCGGCGTGGTGAAGTATGGTACAAAAACCCTCGCGAACAAGGCGGCATGGGGAGGGGGCCTAATCCAGCAGTGGACTGACAAAGGGCTGTTAAATTATTATTTGTAATGTTATTATTACTCGGTGTCCTCATGCTGCGTTGACTATCGCCGTCGGCAGTCATGCCAAGAGTCAAGATGTCTTATGAATGCATACGCATGTAATGGGTGCTGCGTACCTGTATTTCCAAACCACAGTTAAATAGCGTCAATTTGTTGAGAAAAAAAACTGGTCGAATAAGTGCCAATAAGCATTCCTGTAAAGTAATCAACGAATCCGCTGGCCAGCTGACTGTATCTGTGTCTGGCTCCTGCACAGTGGTGATGTCACCGCCAGCTAGTGGCGGCATGGTGGCTGTTGGTTGTTGTTGTTGTTTAACCTCGCACTTTCTGTTTATAGGTGGCGTTGTGTCACCACTTTGGAAGGGTTTCGCCAGAGATCAATCAATTACATGTTTGGTCCGCGCTTTGGGCAACTGAGAAAAAGGGAGACGTCTTCTGGCGTTGCTTGACACAAAGGGCAACAGCAGTTTGGGGCGTTTGGGTCGATTCGATTTTGGTAATCGGCTAGCATGGAGCAGCAGTAACCTGAACGGAGTTGAGCCACTTTTGTGCGAGTTGCCCCGGGTCAGGGATTTTTCATCGTCTAGCTATGGATGGGGGCCAACCCCCTAGCACGACATTGGGGGCTTGCAGGCGTTGACTGTCACCAAGGGAACAGCGCACGCTGCACGTACCTTCCCCGAGCACTGCAGGTGCACGCCCGGCACCGACAGCGACGTCACAAACATGGTGACGCAGCGCAGCAGGAACACGGTGCCTATCAGCGAGAACATGCGGCGCAGCAGGATGGACCTGAGCAGAGACACACACACACATGCGCACACACGCACGCGTACAGAGACAAAGCTCCCCCGTGTAGCCTTCAACAAACTGGATAAGTGTTATTATCCAGCACAAGTGGTCGGTGTGGTTTGCACCATGCCCGACCATCTTTGTCTCCCCAGTGATGACGTCTAAACAGTACTAGGCACTCATTTAAGGCTGAGTCTAATTCACTGCATAAGTAGCAGGAGTTATATGGAAGAAAATCGTGCGCGCGATTGAAAAACAAAGGCCAGATCTGCGCCATTCCACCCCCTTCTCCTAGAATTCTCAACAGCTGCCAACGAGTTGGCTCGGTGAGACTCCATAGCCTCGTTCATCAAAATCAATATCGAGTGTATTTTCAAAAATTTGAATTACAAAAGAGTTAGAAAAGGTTATTGCTGGACCACGTGGTGGAGTGATGCAAAGGGAGAACTCGTTCCCTTGGACTCTTCCGTTAACCGCACGTGTTGCTGGTGCCCTCTCAAATCTTTACAGAAATGTTCCAAACCCATTTGTGTATGTTTTCCTATTTCTTAATTTGATCTCTTCAGCCTTCCACCGATGTCTTCGTGATGACGGTGACTCGGGTTAAACTGTACAGCAGTGACGTGCGTTTAAAGTCTTAATTAACAATCCTCCCCAAGACTGATGCTGGGGAGGCGCGTTAGCCCGAAAACATTCGCTGCACATGGTCACGCGTTTACCTGTGCTTGTGAAAGACGAGTACGGAGCTCCAGATGGCGGTGAGGATCAGGCCACACACCTCGGTCATGGCAAAGGCCCATGGGATCCGTGGAACGCTGAGACACACACACACACACGGCGGCGCTGCCGTCAACGCAGCAAACAACGCCCTCACGTGTACATGATGTCGCTGTATTGCGAAATTAATTGTTGCAAATTCCGCGTTTAAATATTACACCACGACCCAACTTCGCATCGGTCAGAGGGGCAAACCTTTAATTGCGGGTGTGGGAATTTCACAATCGTGCGTTGAGACATCTAATTTGAAAACACATTTCTTTGAAACTGCTCTTTGTTTTGATTTCAAGCTTTCGTGACTGCAGTAATTCATATTCTTAGCTCTTTCGGTAAAGTCACGTTGAAGGGAAACAATAAAATAATAAAATATATATAAAACAATAAAAATTCTCACGACGTTTCGACCATAACACAAACGGTCGTCATCAGGTGTGAAAAAAAAACCAACAACGGCAAGGAACATTGTCGTTGTTGTGTTATGGTCGAAACGTCGTGAGAATTTTTTTTATTGTTTTATATATTTTATTATTTATTGTTTCCCTTCAACGTGACTTTACCGAAAGAGCTAGGAATAAAACTGCTCTTTGTGTTTAGCTTGTTGTCCCTCCCCCGCACCTCCGACTGGCACGGTGAGACTACGTACGGTGCGAAAGAAGATTCCGACACACATCTGCCGTGACAAAAATCTGCGGCTAATCATGAAAATAAGTACATTGCATGTCCAAGATATGTTATCTATAACAACAAAAAAACCTTGCTTAAAAGAAACGTAATTATAACCTCACCCCCCCCCCCACCCAGGAATGCTGCGGCGGTGTCATGGCTAGCACACTGGAATTGCCATGCGCAGGTCACCGGGTAGACTGTATCTCCCGGCGTGGCAGCTGAAACAGAGTTTCACAAATCCCTCCACCTCCATCCACCCAGCTGTATAAATGGGTGCAGCACAGTTCGTCGACTGGCAGGTCCACATGTGCGAAGGGTGAAGATGGGAACTCCCACCGCTTCCAAGACGCCTGGCCTACGTGGAAGAGTAGGCCACATGCCGTTTAGAGAGGGCTCTCAAGAGCTCCCCGCAGTGGAGACCCTTCCGCCAGCAGTGACGGGAGCAACAAACTGCAGGGCTGCACCTTTTCGTTTTTCCTTGTAACTCAGCACGAGCCCCGGTACAAAGCACAAACGGTGACGCAGGGTGGGGGCCACAGGAACTCGGCGGCACGCGAGGGGGCAGCTGGGGCTGCACCTCGCCCATCGCTTTCGCTACCCCGACCCGGCACCATGCCGCCGCACTGCCTCACTTGTCCAGGAAGATGTCGGGCAGGGGGGGGTAGGTTTCCATGTCGGGCACGCGGTCGTGCACGATCACCATGACGAACGCCGTGGCCCCGAACACGAGCACGACGTACACCAGGCTCACGAGCGTCTTCCAGTACTCGGGGTCGAGCTTCCGCCCGCCGCCGCCGTGGCCTCTGCCCTGCCCGCCACCGCCCCCCCGCGCCCCGCCAGCCGGCGCTGCAGGCGACGCGTTCTGCAGGCTCGACTGCACGCTGCCGCCCTGGTGCGCGCGGAGCGCGATTCTGCGATACGGCACGCCTGCGGAGGAGCCCGCGACGGGGGTTCATGAGCGGCGCCGGTGCCGCGCAAACGCCGGCTCTGTTTAACCTCGCACCGGAGGCCCGGCAGTTACGTTGCCCTTTAGAGACGTGACGTCTGAACTTTTCATGCAACCAAGGAGAGGTATTTTCGTGCAGTAGAAGTTATAGACCAAACATTGCATGGATTTTCAAAAGTAGTGAGTTTATGGTCTCAGCCAGGTCATCACACAAAACAATCCACCGTATTAAATATGGTTCTGCGTGTTAATTTGAGTAAATTCGACCTCTGAGATTTTTTAAAATATTTGTTTGTCATGCGACGAACGTTGCTCTCTGCAGAAGGGTGGGTGGGAAAGTGCTGCCCCCTACTGGAAGGGATCTCAGATGTAGTTCTGTGACATCCACTTCGATGAGCCATTCTCAAATGCGAATGGTTCCACTGCTCCTCGAGAGATCCGAGTGGATCCTTCTACTCATGACATGACGTCAATAGCGCAATCGGAAGAAAACTTTACGAGATTTTTTAAGATACGAACCATTGGTGTAGCGATGATCATTCCCTCTCTCCGCCACCTGCTGCATATGCTGCTGCTGCGGCCTTGCACCATAACCTTGATCTGATGAGAGCAACTGGTGCTCGTGGAAGTGAAAACAGCAACATTGGCCATACGAGCTGCACGGGCCTTCCACCTCATAGCTTCCTGTACACAATTACAAAAACACATGGCAATTAGACAGCAACTGAGCTTACAGTGAATGGTGCTATCCTGGCTCACAGCTGTAATGCAGGGTTGAAGTGCAATCCACATCATGTTCTATTTCATAACGGACACATCACCATCACCGTGTGCGATGCGTGCCTGCCTGCTACAGCCAGTCGGCTGTTGACACCTGCGTGTAGATAGATTTTGAGTGCTAGCAGTTGCGCATTCACCCCCTCTTGCAGAGCTTCACGGTTCGATTCCAGCGGCCGCCATGGTTAATACTGTGGACGCATTAACCGTAACATTCCTACGTGTCGCCCGCTTCACAATTGCCGTTAATTAATAAGAGTGAGGGCACTGCGTGCTGGCGTCATTGTCGAAATTTGCCAAAAACAAAATGTATCGCCCCGTAAATCACCCAATTTGGAAGAATCCACAGCAACAATTAATCGTCTCCGACTGCTAAAAAAGGACTTGGCAGAACCCTCCTGAAGGAAGAGTCGTGAGACTCGGCGAAGAAAATGCTGGGAAAGTCAAGGACGATCAATACCCTTGCTCGAATTGCAAAACGGAGCCTCCATGCAGTGGCAAGTCACTTCGGGATGCAACGGTCAGGACCGCGCGAGCTGTGGTCAGGGGCCCCCTGGCACCATCACGCGTGCTGCGTATTCGTGTCACCAAGCCCTCAAACGGCTCTCACTCAAAACCTCACAAAAGCACCACGCTACCAATCACTCACCAATTTGGAGTTTAAACTAACTGAAAGTCATTCCGCCTTGGCAGTGGCGCACAAGCACAACCAACAATAACTCAACACGTTCGCCAATAACATTGGTGCAATAATGAAAACGTATGTTTGTGCAATAGGTGATGCTCTGGACAACGGCCCTCCTTCTTAGCACAGAGATAAAGAGGCCAGGGCAAATAAGTGAATAATAGTTGGCGACTGCAGGGGGTGTATAGCGCAGCAGTCTCCAACCACTATTCAAACTCTCTAGCCTCTTTGTCTCTCTGCTTGGGAAAAAGGGTAAATGCACGATACAGCGTCCATTCTATACATATTTTTCACTTTTAAGGCAATGTTACTGATGAATGCAGTGGTTTTTGTGTTGTTTGTGCCTGAGCACCTCTGGCAAATGCATATACAGCGGTCCAGCGTGAATGGACCATGCAAGGCATTCTGTCATACAATTTGTCTTGTTTAATTAACGAACGGAACGTAGAGTGGCAGCAGCAGAAGCAGCAGCTCCCTGCTCTTAAGGCCAGGCAGCACTCGTGACCTCCCGCGTATGTTTTGTTCGAGTGCAATGTCCTTGACGGAGCTGGTGATGTTTCATTTTGATTTGTGATCCTTCCGCCAGGTTTGTTTACGACGTTCCTACAAAACACACGTGAGCCATCCTGGTAACAGCACGTGCAAAGTGAAATGCTCGTGAGGGTTTTCCTGGCTGTACAGAAGTAGAATACGTCACCGGGCTACAAATGTAAAAACATACAAACAATAACAAAACAACAAGAACAATGAGATGTGTGTTCCCTTCCAAATAATTTTTTGAGCATTTTTACTCTGAAGCCTCCGCCACGCGTTGCTGTGGGCAGCATCTTCGGGAGTTGAATTCAACTCCTGGAGGCGCCCAGAAAACTACACCAGGAAGGGAACACCGCGTACCCAGTTATAATAATAGGGTTTTCCCCCTTTTTTCTGGCAACAAAACTGAAACCTTTTACAAGGAATCACGTGTGCATTAACCACAATACTTGTGGTCAAAATGCAAAGAAAAAACACACTATGATAATATATGATGCATTTTGATTTAAAGCTTTCGTGACTGCAGTGATTCATATTCTTGGTTCTTTCGGTAAAGTCACGTTGAAGGGAAACAATAAAATATATATAAAACAATAAAATTATCACGACGTTTCGACTGCAACAGAAGCAGTCATCATCAGGTGTAAAAAACCACAGCAAGAAAATGTTAAAGAAGTGGCGGTTTGTATTTATTTATTTATTAGCGTTAGGGCCACAGATAGCGATTTGACAGTTTGTTTAGATGGACGAGTCCATCTATGTTCGGAAAAGAGGAGGGGGGAGACGAAAAATTAATGTATGCTGTCTGAAAGCCACCGTAAGCGTGAACAATCAATTAAGACCCGAAATGGTTTATCAAATCCTTCCAATGATTGCTAAGCCAGAATCCATCTTCTCGGTTGAAATTGTCTCTGTGTTTGTATATGTGGATAGCCTCATGAACGAATCTCTCATGGTAGCCAGATGGCTTGCAAAGAAGTCAATGTCATGTGAGCCTACTGAATTATAACAGTGATCTGCCACGGCCGAGGTGTTGGTCCTACCGTGTTTAAGGTCTGCTTTGTGTTCATCAATGCGGTCCGAGACATGTCGTTTGGTTTCTCCAATGTAACTACTACCACAGAGGCAACTTAGTTTGTAGACACCAGGGTATGTATGTCCAGAATCACATCTTTTACAGACGGAACCAGATCACGGATTTTATGTAATGTGTTGAAACGGACCTGGATCTTGTGTTTATTCAAGATTTTGGAGATCTTTTTTGTCATCCCCGCAATGTAGGGTAAAGTGATGGTTTTGAAAGGCTCCTCAAGAGGGTCCTTCTTCATGGTTTGAGTGATAGCTTTGCAACCCTCAAAAACGCTAAGATGCAGCTCGCAACCTCATCAAAGATGAGCGTTTTGAATTATTTAAATTAAAAAAGAGGGATGACATTGTAATCCTCTCAGTTGATAAGGGCAATGCTACTGTCATCATGGATAAAATAGAATATAACAACAAAATTAAAGAATTATTCGACGATGGCAGCTTTACAAAAATAAAAAGAGATCCCACCAACAGCCTCGTCACACAAACCAACAAAATAATTTCTGATTCAACCGCATTAATTGATCAAACTAAACAGTTTTCGTTGAAACCTTCTGCTGCCAGGCCACCAAGATTATGCTGATTACCAAAAATACATAAAGTAGATACACCCCTTCGTCCCATCGTCTCTACTATCAACTCCCCCACCTACAAACTGGCTCGTTTTCTGTCTGAAATCCTGCGGCCTTTCACTGGAAAAACCACCTTTGCGGTACAAAATTCTACTCACCTGGTATCGACAATCAAGGGTATTTCCCTGTCCCCAGACGACCTGCTTGTCAGTTTTGATGTAGTTTCCTTATTCACCAAAGTTCCTGTACCTGACACCATCGCAATCATTGAAGACTTGGTTCATCAAGGACTAAACACTGAGGTACCCCCCCTGGTGAGACACTGCTTAACCAATACATACTTCACTTGGAATGGAACTTTCTACAAACAAACTGAGGGCACCCCAATGGGCTCCCCCCTATCTCCGGTTATAGCCAACATTTTCATGGAGAAATTTGAGACTGACGCCATCCAGACTGCCACTCAGCGCCCAACCTTATGGAAGAGGTACGTGGATGACACTTTTGTCATCTGGCCACATGGCCGGCCTGCTCCAGACCAATTCTTCGACCACATCAATTTCATACACCCAGCCATCAGATTTACCATGGAAGTCGAAAAAGATGGCAAGCTACCTTTTTTGGATGTCCTAATAAAAAAGAGACCTGATGGTTCTGTGAGCCACTCTGTCTACAGGAAAGCTACCCATACGGATGCGTATCTGCAACCGGATTCCCACCACCATCCATCACAGAAGAATTCTCTCATCAAGACTCTGCACCATAGAGCCTAATGCATATCCGACCAGGAACACATAGGCAGTGAACTCAAGGACGTACACCAAGCTCTTAAGGCTAATGGTTACTCCGACTATACAATCCGCAAAGCTATCACTCAAACCATGAAGAAGGACCCTCTTGAGGAGCCTTTCAATACCATCACCTTACCCTACATTGCAGGGATCACAAAAAAGATCTCCAAAATCTTGAATAAACACAAGATCCAGGTCCGTTTCAACACATTACATAAAATCCGTGATCTGGTTCCGTCTGTAAAAGATGTGATTCCGGACATACAGTACCCTGGTGTCTACAAACTAAGTTGCCTCTGTGGTAGTAGTTACATTGGAGAAACCAAACGACATGTCTCGGACCGAATTGGTGAACACAAAGCAGACCTTAAACACGGTAGGACCAACACCTCGGCCGTGGCAGATCACTGTTATAATTCAGTAGGCTCACATGACATTGACTTCTCCAAGACAGAGGTTCTTTGCAAGCCATCTCATCTGGCTACCATGAGAGATTCGTTCATGAGGCTATCCACATATACAAACACAGAGACAATTTCAACCGAGAAGATGGATTCTGGCTTAGCAATCATTGGAAGGATTTGATAAACCATTTCGGGTCTTAATTGATTGTTCACGCTTACGGTGGCTTTCAGACAGCATACATTAATTTTTCGTCTCCCCCCTCCTCTTTTCCGAACACAGATGGACTCTTCCATCTAAACAAACTGTCAAATCGCTATCTGTGGCCCTAACGCTAATAAATAAATAAATACAAACCGCCACTTCTTTCAAATGTTTTTGCCATTGGTTTTCACACCTGATGATGACTGCTTGTGTTGCAGTCCAAACGTCGTGAGAATTTTATTGTTTTATATATATTTATTATTTTATTGTTTCCCTTCAACGTAACTTTACCGAAAGAACCAAGAATATGAATCACTGCAGTCACGAAAGCTTTAAATCAAAATGCATCATATATTATCATAGTGTGGTTTTTGTTTGCATTTTGAACACAAGTATTGTGGTTAATGCACACATGATTCCTTGTAAAAGGTTTCAGTTTTGTTGCCAGAAAACAGGGGAAAACCCCTATTATTATATTTTGGAACTGGCAAAGGAGGTCTAATGATGTACACGCCCGGTTGTTTCTTAATGTTTACATTGAAATTTAATTAAACTTATGAAGATGTCGACAGCAGTGCAGCCCCACCTGGAAATCCACACTTGGGATTAAAAGCAGCTGTGAAAATGTATTCGTAAAATGTGTTGCCTTGTCTTTGCATATCATTTACAATAAATAAAAAATAGAAACTCCAACGCACGTTGATAGTTGTAGTGTTGAGGTTTCATCAGTGACAACCTTGACAAATATATGTCCGCCATGCGAGCAAAACTTTTTTTGCAATGTCACAATAACCCTCCAGAAATAATAAACATCCAAATTCACAGCCCGCTGTCAATCCACTGTTGGATGAAGTCCAAGTTTAGTTTCAGCAGGCCTTCATGGGGGTTGTTTGATCGCACTTCACTCCGCTGACCGTTGCGAATTTTTTTTTCAACGTGGCAAAACCACGCAGCATTATCCTCATCCTTAGGTACAACGTGAATGTAGAAAGGTGGATTAAACAGCTGACGACATCAAGAACCACGTTCTCACTGTCGACTCCACGGTTCGTCTTCCACGGCGGTCACAGGCTCTCCTCGCAACGGATTTACAACCGGCCAGGGTCCACGCTCAGCCGACATCCCTCTACGACTGGGGCCGATGCGACCACGACCCATGTCCGCGGACGTGCTCGGCGTGGATTTCGCCCCCCCGACCAGACTCAACGGCGGTCTCTGTGCTCTCCCTCCACGCCGCCGCCAACGAACGAGCTAACGGTGACAAACAAATGCGCGGCACGTACCACGCGTGGCGGCACGCAGCGATGCGACGGCTCGAATCAGCCTCTTGGCGTCGCCCAACACCTTCATGCATATGGGCGGCGCGAGCAGCTCGGCCTGCGTGAGGCTCAGCAGCCCCGGCCCGTCGAGGCGATGGACGTCGCTCAGCAGCTCCGAGAGCTCGCCCATGCCCTCTTTGTGCAGCCACGTCCCCACCTGGCAGAGGCGCGCCAAGGAGCAGATGGCGGCGGCGGCGGCGGCGGCGGCGGTCACAGGCGGTGCCGTCAAGAGTCCGTGGGACGCACTCGCGGCACTCGCGGCACGGCGATTTCGCGCGGCGACTCGCTGCACGAATAACGAGCGTGCTGTGAAGATCGGACTTATTGTTATTGTGACTACCGTTCGTTAATACTATCACCACTAGTATTGTTTTTATTACTAGCACTGCTGGTCGTTTCGTCTCGCCGCAGTTAGTCAGTCACGCTTTGGTCTTTGGCGTGCAGTCGTAGTCGAAGCACCTGCGGATTAGCACAGTTGGCTACGTACGGTGCGAAAGAAGCTCAACATGCATGCATACATACGTAGCCAAGGTCCCTTCCAGATTGAAAGCTTTCGTGACTGCAAGGATCCATACTCTTTGGTTCTATTCGGTAAAGTCACGTAGGTAAAAAATAAAACAACAAAAAATCACGACGTTTCGGCCACAACACAAGCGGCCTTCATCAGGTGAAGGGACGAGACTGTCTGGAGGACAGCGCTGGAGTGAAACACAGCCACGCTCAGACCGCGACCTTTAAGCTCCAGCGCTGTCCTCGAGACAGTCTGGTCCCTTCACCTGATGAAGGCCGCTTGTGCTGTGGCTTAAACGTCGTGATTTTTGTTGTCTTATTTTTTTACCTACGTGACTTTACCGAATAGAACCAAAGAGTATGGAGCCAAGGTCCCGCTTGATGATTTTCATTCAGCTGCAGTCATCGTCAACTAAAATAAAAACACCCACCTCCTTTGTGCCCCAGCTGCTCACGTCCTGTTGACCCTCCATCCTGCTTCACCGCACTGCTGCGAGGGAGTGAAAACGGAGAACACAGTTAATGTTTACCCAGTGGAAACACACGTGTGATGCCCAGTGCCTGAACAATTTGTGGTGCAAACGTGTACACGCACACACAAACGTGTACACCCACACACAAACGTGTACACGCACACACAAACGTGTACACCCACACAAATGCAGCGCTTTTGGCAACCCGCTGCTGATCGAGGGTCTGCCCACGCCGTGCGGATCGTGGAGGTTACTGACCATACCTCACCACGCAAGTCAGTGTGAGCTTGATGAAGGTGGGGGAGCAGAGATTTGTGCAGAATAAAAACTCAGAACACGAATGGCTCTTTGTTGCACTCTCCTAAGCTGCCCAAAACATTGTCCCACAGCCAATAGCACCTATTAACACATTCTCCTGCGGAGGGAGCTGGTAGGAACGTTGGGTTGCTCGGTGAATGGCCAGGGTCAACGGCGGCGTGTTGCATTCCGCACAATATGCCCGACTGTGAGTGCGGGCACAAGCCGGCGTGAAGGGTGGGGACCGAGTGGGGACCGAGTGGGGACCTGGGACGGTGGAGAGAAAAAAAAAGTTGTTCCTCAAAAAAAAGAGTACAATACCCACAAATTGTCGGCTTATAAAGTAGAGATTGAGAGCAGCCGCGTACTTCAAACGCATGTTGTTGATTCTCCACGTGGAGGGAAAAATGTCGTGAAGATGGCCGGACGTGGTTGGTGGCCACCGACCCCCTCATGTGTGCCGTGGCCTCCTTCCCCACCCAGCCCCCTCCCTCCCCACCCAGCCCCCCCCCCTCCCCACCCCCCTCCCCACCCCCCCCTCCCCACCCAGCCCCCCTCCCCACCCAGCCCCTCCCCACCCTCCCCCTCTCCACCCAGCCCCTCCCTCCCCACCCCCCCCCTCCCCACCCAGCCCCCCTCCCCACCCAGCCCCTCCCCACCCTCCCCCTCTCCACCCAGCCCCTCCCTCCCCACCCAGCCCCCCCTCCCCACCCAGCCCCCCCTCCCCACCCAGCCCGCCCCCACCCAGCCCCCCCCCTCCCCACCCAGCCCCTTCCCTCTCCACCCAGCCCCACCCCTCCCATTTTTGGATGCATGACGGACGGACACAATAATCCCCTGTGGGCTGGTGGTGTAACCAGGAGGTTCCTACCAGTATCAATGGCGCTTGCCCACCAAAACCACACAAGATTAACTGGTATTGGCCAAACATCCTAACACTGAAAAATGATCCGCAAATTACTCAACTCGCATGACACATACAGTGAGGGAAAAAAAGTATTTTACCCCTGCTGATTTTGTACGTTTGCCCACTGACAAAGAAATGATCAGTCTATAATTTTAATGGTAGGTTTATTTGAACAGTGAGAGAATAACAACAAAATCCAGAAAAACGCATGTCAAAAATGTTATAAATTGATTTGCATTTTAATGAGGGAAATAAGTATTTGACCCCCTCTCAATCAGAAAGATTTCTGGCTCCCAGGTGTCTTTTAAACAGGTAACGAGCTGAGATTAGGAGCACACTCTTAAAGGGAGTGCTCCTAATCTCAACTTGTTACCTGTATAAAACACACCTGTCCACAGAAGCAATCAATCAATCAGATTCCAAACTCTCCACCATGGCCAAGACCAAACAGCTCTCAAAGGATGTCAGGGACAAGATTGTAGACCTACACAAGGCTGGAATGGGCTACAAGACCATTGCCAAGCAGCTTGGTGAGAAGGTGACAACAGTTGGTGCGATCATTCGCAAGTGGAAGAAACACAAAATAACTGTCAATCTCCCTCGGCCTGGGGCTCCATGCAAGATCTCACCTCGTGGAGTTGCAATGATCATGAGAATGGTGAGGAATCAGCCCAGAACGACACGGGAGGATCTTGTCAAGGCAGCCAGGACCATAGTCACCAAGAAAACAATTGGTAACACACTACGCCGTGAAGGACTGAAATCCTGCAGCGCCCGCAAGGTCCCCCTGCTCAAGAAAGCACATATACATGCCCGTCTGAAGTTTGCCAATGAACATCTGAATGATTCAGAGGACAACTGGGTGAAAGTATTGTGGTTAGATGAGACCAAAATGGAGCTCTTTGGCATCAACCCAACTCGCCGTGTTTGGAGGAGGAGGAATGCTGCCTATGACCCCAAGAACACCATCCCCAGCGTCAAACATGGAGGTGGAAACATTATGCTTTGGGGGTGTTTTTCTGCTAAGGGGACAGGACAACTTCACCACATCAAAGGGACGATGGACGGGGCCATGTACCGTCAAATCTTGGGTGAGAACCTCCGTCCCTCAGCCAGGGCATTGAAAATGGGTCGTGGATGGGTATTTCAGAATGACAATGACCCAAAACACACGGCCAAGGCAACAAAGGAGTGGCTCAAGAAGAAGCACATTAAGGTCCTGGAGTGGCCTAGCCAGTCTCCAGACCTTAATCCCATAGAAAATCTGTGGAGAGAGCTGAAGGTTCGAGTTGCCAAACGTCAGCCTCGAAACCTTAATGACTTGGAGAAGATCTGCAAAGAGGAGTGGGACAAAATCCCTCCTGAGATGTGTGCAAACCTGGTGGCCAACTACAAGAAACGTCTGACCTCTGTGATTGCCAACAAGGGTTTTGCAACCAAGTACTAAATCATGTTTTGCAGAGGGGTCAAATACTTATTTCCCTCATAATGCAAATCAATTTATAACATTTTTGACGTGAGTTTTTCTGGATTTTTATGTTGTTATTCTGTCTCTCACTGTTCAAATAAACCTACCATTAAAATTATAGACTGATCATTTCTTTGTCAGTGGGCAAACGTACAAAATCAGCAGGGGATCAAATACTTTTTTCCCTTCACTGTAGCAAGACACGGCAACATTGCCTGCGGCTGAAAACTCGGTAGGCAGGGCTCTCCTGAAAAAGCTTCTTGTGACTCGACGAGACTCTCCTGGGTAAACGAGCTGTGATAGTAATAATAATGAGATACAAGTAATTTATGCATAAAAATCACAATGCACAACCACAGAGGAAGCTCTCGGTTTAACACTCCACTGAAAAAATGTGTACGCAACAAAATACGCAACACAGCACCATAAGAGTACACGGGCCTTCTAAGGCTAGGGTTTTATGGCACTTACAATGTATATTGCTGTAATGATACCTAATATGCACCTACAATGTATAACGCTGTAAAGATCTCTCCTATGCACCTACAATATATATTGCTATTCAGATATCTACTACGCCACTGACCAACACAATGCTTGTAGGTTAAAAACATTTATACAGTCCTGGTTTACATGGCTTCTTGTAAATTCACTGCTGGATGAAGGCCTCCCCCCTTTTGCCATGTCAGCCATATGGGTTGTTTGGCCCATACTTGAAAGTCCAGGACTGGCTCGGATATCACTCGTCAGTAATGTTAGGCACGGCCGGGAATTGAATTTGGGTCGCCGAGTTCACAGTGCGCCATGATAATCACATTGCTACCCGCCCTTATACGACTGTGAACTATACATATAAAATTGCGAAACGTATGACAAGTTAAACGAGAATCTGAACCTGGTACAACATTGCCAAATAAGAATGTAACGCAGAGATGAAGTAACATAATCCGTACGAATTTTTCACTGCTAGAGATGTAATTTATGGCCATAATCCAGCGCATATCTGACACTGTACAAACACTGTGTACGAGGTCCCACGCGTCTTGTTTGGGCACATGGGCAAAATAAGATTTGATAAACACGAAACGTTTATATCCTGTCACCAGAAGGAGCCCTAGAGAGCCCCTCTAGAGGGGTGATGACGTTCGCCGGTAATCCAGCACCGTGGAGGCAGCGAGGGTTGATGGAGCGCACGCACGATGTGAATCTCCCTTCCCGTGGGTGTCGAGGTGTCATAACCCTGACCCCTGCCAGAAGGCAGTACAGAAAGTGGCCTATCTGCCATCTGTTCCCATCTGTACGGGAATAGAGCGTTGCTCCCTTTTCACACGTGGGTTTCCTCCGGGTCCTCCGGTTTCCTGCACTTGTACAAAAACTCGGCATTCATTGTCTGAAAACTTTGAACAATAAAAAAAACCCAATGCAGGACCCTCCTGAAATAAATACAATCTTACGACTCAGTGTGGCTTTCTTCGATAAATAAGGGAACATAAATAAATAACTCGGCCTACACTTTCACACTGGCCAGCATTGTCTTAAGCAAGTAAATTGCAGGGATGCACCTTTACCGACATAGTGAATCCAAATGTATACACATACTGACATGGATTACGTATGTATGTTTAACTTTTTTCGCAACGCACGTAGCCAACCGTGCTAATCGGAGGTGCGGGGAAGGACGACAAAATAAACACGAAAAGCAGTTTGTTTTTAGGTTAAGTGTTACGAGACTAGTTTTAATCCCGTGTTTTTTTTTCTGTTGCTGTCGAAACGTGTGCATGGTCAGATGGTGAGCTGGCAGGGCTATAGTTAGTGGGTGGCCTGACCTCGCCCATGAGCACTTTAGCAGGAAGAGGTATGGGCGATTATGTCACCTCCTTATGATTCATGTCCAATGCTTTTTTTCTTGCTTAACAAACACACCCTGTGTGTCCCAACCGGCTCTTACGCACTCGCAAAGCGACAAAAGCTGCATACTCCTTAGGAGATGTAACTATTGGATCATCTAAGTTCTAAAAAATAATATCACAAACACAAAGGCACCGCCCTGCAATCACTTCCTCAAGCCACTGCTGGCAGAAGGGCCTTAACTCGGCGGATATCTTGATCATCATTCTCGAGGGTAATTTGGCCTACTCTTCCACGCTTGGAAGAGGTGGAAGTACCCACACTGCGCCCCATCGCATGGGACCTGTCGACCGGGGGATTTTAATAAGCTTGCCAACAAGTTCCAAAATGTATTAAATCAACAGCCAGAAATGGGGGACTGATTAAAAAGCATGTCGTTCTTAACAAAGAGACATTGTCAGAGCGCAGCAAACAACAGCCCAGTCAGCCTGAGCTGG